ATTAGCCTTTGAAGATTTGGAAGGATTAGTTTGAAGAGGATCATTATTTAAAAATAAAACATTTTGACGAAGAGGAGCCCCACTATTATCATGGCACGCAATATCAGGTAACATATTAACATCTTCATGTAAATGAGAAGAAATGGGGGAAGGGGGGCGGGAATGGTTTTTCAGATTAGAAACAGAAAAGTTGAGGGGCTTCAAGAGACAAGAAGGGGAAACATTAGGGGGGGAGAGGGAAGAGTGGACATACCTGGGCCTGCTGGAGCTGGGCCAAGAATAGAGGCTTGGGCCTGAAGGCCAGCCAAGGCAAAGGGACTTGGGCTTCCAATAATCTAAAAATTCTTTGGGCTAATAACACCACTAGCATTGTCACACTCCATAAAACTAGGCTGACCACAACATGGGCTCTTCATGGAAAAATCAGTCGGCCTAGGTCCAAGAAGAGAAGCTTGGGCCGTAGCAGATTCCTTGGGCTTCAACGGTATAAAAGAGTCCAAGCTTTTACAATGACCCACAGAAGCTTCATTTGAAATCCTACTGTTATCATTGAGATCCAACAGGACCTTAGGCTGGACAGTAACCGGAAGGTTACGAGAATTACCAATGGCGCCATCCTCACACATGCTGGCTGACACCTCCGCCGTACACTTCTTTAATGCATTAATATTAATAAAAGAAGCCTCCATACCCAAAGGACAAGAGGGAGCAGGGTCCTCCATACTAGCATGCAGCTCTGCAATTTCGCCTCTATGCTGCTGTTGCAGGCTCCAGCCTGTCACCAGACCATCTCCCCCATCCCCATTTTGCCGCTTACAATTAAAAAAATTATTCAAATCTTCACGATTCACGGTGCATTCAACGGCTCCAAAATAGAAAGGAGAGTGAGACTTTGGTTGACTTTTTTGAAATGAGACCGTTGGCTCATCAATAGCTCCGGCCATCGAACCACAGATCATCACCGGCAGATTTGTAACATTCTTTTCCTTGAAGACAGCAGTATTTTCAGCATGGGAGAAAGCCACAGAGATATCAGAGATAGCTATGGGCCGGCTAACACACGAATACAAGGTGTCAAGAGGCCGAGAGCAAGACGACGGCCCCTGGACAGCAGTCTGTTCCGACGAACCTTCCGGTAAGTCTCCAACCACAAGCCTCGGATTGACACACTGATTTCTGGAAATAGAAGCCATAAGTCCATGACTAACCGGGTTAGACGGACGATAATCAATCGGAACACCAGACCTGCATTCATGATCGTGCATGCTGGTAGGTTTTTTCAAAGAAGTCTTAAACCTAATAGACGGAAGGACAATAGCACCAGCCTCTTCATCTTCCATCTGCTTTTCAGTAGCCTCATCGAGCTTCCATCCCATATTAAAAGCCAAAGCATCAGCTGCCAAGAGGGGTGGATCATTGTTACACACTTTACCATTTTCTTCATTCAAGGAATCAAAACAACACGGACTTGGATTGAGACGATGAACATTAACTTTTTCAAGTCTTCTTAACTTGCAATTTTCTTCAAAATTCTCAAGCTTTCCTTGAAGAGACTTAGGAAGAGGGTTTGAGAACATACATCGAAGGATAGGCATACGAGATTTTCTAGTTTTCCTATGCATAGATTCCTTCAAAACACGTTTCCTATCATCCATGGAAGAAAGAAACACGTTTCCTATGATTAGGGTTTAGGGTCTAGGGTCTAGGGTCTAGGGTCTAGGGTCTAGAGTCTAGGGTGTAGGGTCTAGGGTCTAGGGTCTAGGGTCTAGGGTCTAGGGTCTAGGGTTTAGGGTTTAGGGTTTTTTTTGATAGAGAGGAGGGAGACCCCTCCAGATCAAGAAAAAAACGCTAAAAGCCAAACAATGAAGCGCGCGGGTAGGAGGTAAACCTCAACTACCAGCCAGGAGAAAACCAAGGCATCCCGAGGGGAAAGAGAAGAAAGGAGGACAATAAAAAGAGAGGGGAGAGAAAGAGAGAAAAGAAAAACAGAGAGAGGGGAAGAGACGAAAAGAGAGAAGAAGAGGGGGAGAAARAGAAAGAAAGAGAAACCGACCACAAGGGAAGGGCCCAGCCAAGGCATGACCGGGAAACAACGGGGAACACCACAAGAGCAAGAGAAGGGGCCTAAAAAAGGCACACCCTAGTCTGCACCAAGGAAACCGAGAGAGCTACAGAGCTCACAAGACCAAAAAAAAAAACAGCAGCACACAAAGACAGAGAGCTAAGGGAGATTCCAGGCAAGCCGAGCCCGGGCAACATTA